GTTTCCCAGGACAGACAGCCAGTGAGGCAGACAACTTGGGGTTGTCAGAGTCTTGATTCTGGCTGCCAGACTTGAAGGGGGCACGGTGTACAGACCAGGATGTCTGCTTCCTAAACTTAGAATTGTTGGACACACTTGGTCCTCAGGATGGCATTCAGAGCGCCTCCTGTTCCGGAGAGAAGCTTGGATGGGAGGTGCCCCCAGAAGGGAAGTTGAGTTGTAGTGCCATGGTCCCAAGGCCACCGGCAGCACAGACCAGGAGCCAGGGTCTGAGCTGAGTTCCACTCGTGGCGCTATGCTCTGGGGTCCTGAAAGGACCAGCATGGGTCTCAGGAGAAGACCAAAACCTAAATAACCCTTAAGGGAAGCAAAACAGGACACACAGAATGTAGTCCTATATGTTCATTAATGCAATAAACTACAGCAGCGTGAATAGGTCAAAAATGAGAGGCAGGTGTAGGGGAGAATTGGTTAATTAATATATTGAGTAATTTCTCAAAAGAGCAAAGGCATTTTCTTGGTATTTTTCTGTATTGTATATTTGTCTTATTTTTGAAGTCAGAAAGAGATTTAGTAATTTTCAAAAATTGCTTTGTAGAAAGCCTCCTCACCCATGTCTGGGCCAATGGAAACACTGTGTGTTTTTACTCTCTTGGTCTGATCTACCTATGCACAGGCAGCAGTCAGCTTGGCAAGGCTTGGAATTGGCAGATGGGCTGGTTTTTATAATTTTTATAATTACTAGCTGTAATTATTAGTTACCTAAAACCTATCTGAGCCTTAAAAATTAATGAGCCAAAAGGGAACCAGAAGATTCATGTTTGGGTTCTGGCTCTGCACTCCCCAGCTTCATGATGTTGGGCAGCTTAGGCTGCCACAACAATGTACCACAGGTCAGGTGACTTAACGTTTGTTAACATTTGCTCCTTGCAATTCTGGAGGATGAAAGTACCAGAGCACAGAGAAGGCGGATTCAGTTTCTCCTAAGGCGTCTCTCCCTGGCCTGTCTTACTTCCCTACATGGCCTTTTTCTGCGCACCTTCAGAGAGAGAGAGCAAGCTCTTGGGGTCTCCTTCTCTCATAGGACACCAATCCCATCAGATCAGTGCCTTACCCTGGTGACTTCATTCAATGGTAATTACTCCCCTAAAGGTCATATATCCAAATATAGTCTCATTGGGGGTTAGGGTTTCACTATAGAAATTTGGGGGAATAGCATTCAGGCCGTGCAAGTACTGAAAGCAGAGTTGTAAACTAAAATGCATGGCACAAAGGTGAGATTCTGTTTCTGCTCTCTCGCAAGACTTGACTCTGCTTCCAGTTGACAACACAGAGACTCAATTAGATGTGAGGTTCTTTGATGAGAAAAAAGAAGAGATTTATATGTATATTTTTAGAAATTAGCACAAATTCAGGGTTGTCCCTGTGATAATCATACTCTTGTTTTCTACCTCTTGCATGAAGAAGAAAGGGCTGAAGTTAAGTTCCTGTCCTGGGACCTTCTGACGAGTGTGTCCTGAGAGCCTGTGTGCAGGGGGAAGAGGCCAGGGAGCACCCTGGGTGGAACTCCCTCTCCTCGGCCCCTGTCCTCCTGTGTCTCAGCATAGGGCTCCAGGTCACCGCCAGGACAGGCCTGCTCCTTTCCCTCTTGAAAACTATTTTTAACCAGTCATGGTTAACTTTTTATTCTTTTTACAAAAGCAATATATGTTCTTTTCAGAAAAATGAAGAGAAGACAATGAAAACTTCCATTTTTATCAGCAACAGGATCAGATTTAGTCAGAGTTGCCTAGTACTCTGCAATGATAACCTGGAATAGGAAATGGCAACCCACTCCAGTATTCTTGCCTGAAAATCCCATGGACAGAGGAGCCTGGTGGACTGTATAGCCCATGGGGTCGCAAAGAGTTGGACACAACTGAGCACACACCTGCGCTGTTACAGTGGCTGAAGCAGCTGTGAACACAGCAACCACTGAGGTTACTGGAGGTCTTTTCAGAGAGGGCTGAGGATGAGACCTCCAAGGAACATGCTGCAGTAATAACCAATGGTCCTGAACTCCTTCTTTCCTCTAGGAGGATGAATTTTATTAACACAAAACATTTGTTTTGCTGATGAATTAAATGGAGCTGGATTGCATGTCTCTAAGGGGGCCTGCCAAAATGTTTTACACTCTTGGAAAAACATTGGTTTGAAGGGGCAGCAGATTACAAGTTTTCTTGGGGCAGACACACATCCAGTTCTCACCCTGACCCTGACTAATAGCATTACTTTAATAGCTCATTTAGCTTTATTAAATCAATACGTGCCTCTATTTAAAAAATTCAAATAAGACAAAATAAACTGATATCATACTACCCAGAAATAACTAACACTGTTAACTTTAAAGCATTTTGTTTGGAAATAACTTCTACTTAGAGATGTTACAAAATTAAAAAGGCACCTCATACAGAGTCTCCTATTCTTAACCTTTTAGCTCATTTACCATTCCCATTTATCATTCTATGGGTATGCATGTGTATACACACACACATAAATACAAACATATATACTTTTTTCTTAACTAGAAGTTAAGAAAAAGTTAGCAACTAACTTGCATACATCATTACCCTTTATCCCTAAATTCTTCAGTGCCTTATTTCCTAAGAGTAGAGATATTCTCTTACATAACCACAGTACCAGTTATCAACATCAGTAAATGTGACATGGATAGCCCCTATATTTCAATTTAGTCAGTAGATCACAAAATGTCTCCTTGTGGTTTAAGATCCAGTTTCGGGGTAGTTACTACATTTTTTTCTTGTCTCTTTAATACCCTTAATCTGGAAAGTTCCTCAATCTTTTTTTTTTTTCTTTTGAGACATTCATTGTTGTTGTTTAGTCACTAAGTCATGTCCAACTCTGTGACCCTATGGACTGTAGAGGAGCCCCGTTCTCCAGGGTCCTCTGTCCATGGAATTCTCTGGGCAAGAATACTGGAGTGGGTTGCCATTCCCTTCTCCAGGGGCTTTTCCCAACCTAGGGATCATACCCGGGTCTCCTGCATCACAGGCAGGTTCTTTACTGCTGAGCCACCAGGAAAGCCCAAAACATTCATACTTTGTGATAATATTGTTTTCCCCTGTCGCAGTACATTTAATTTTGGATTTGTCCTTATGAGTACATCAGGGTTCTAGAGTCTCAGCCAGAGTGCTGCATGGGTACCACACTTCCTCAAGGTACCACAGCTGGAGGCACATACAGCTATCTGTCCCCATGTTCACTGGCTTTGCTTACCCAGTCAAGTATAATTGCTAGTTTTTTCTTTTTTCCTCCTGGCACCATGTAAGCAATCTGTGAGGAAACATTTTGGGCCTGGGCAAATATCTTGCTCCCTGTCAACATTCTCTTGCCAGAACTGGCATTCATTGGTGTTTCTAGCTTGAACCATTCTTTATTAGGATAATTCTCAAAGTGATGCTGCGCTACCTGCAGCACCCTCCACATTAGCATTCTGTTATAAGCAAGAGCCCTCATTTCCTCCCCTCGCCATTTGTTTATCCGTCTGTTATTTGTACGGATTCACTAATACCTGTTTTTCAATGGTTTTAAATTGATTACTGTATTTAATTATATTCATGCTCAAACTGACTAACACTTGGTAGTGGGAGCCCCTTCAGGGTGGCTTCCGTATCCTGTGCTGTACCCCAGCATTTTCTTTTTACAAGTACTTCCTAGTTTTCAGAGGGATTCCCTGGTAGCTCAGCTGGTAAGGAGTTAGCCTGCAATGCAGGAGACCCCGGTTCAATTCCTGGGTTGGGAAGATGTGCTGGAGAAGGGAATGGCTACCCACTCCAGTATTTTGACCTAGAGAATTCCATGGACTGGATAGTACACGGGGTCACAAAGAGTCGGACACGACCCAGCAACTTTCACTTTCACTTTTAGTCTTCAGAAATAAACTGCTTGGGCTCATCTTGTTCTTTTGCTGCTCCAGCCCTGGACTCTGTAATTTCTCCAAGGAGACCTGATACCTTTTAGTGTGGTGTGATATTGAAGGGTACTTGGTATGCTCTCTGATACTGTAGTGTCTTTGCTTCAGGCCTTTTCAATGGACAGAGCTAGGAAACGTATGCACGTGTACACAGATACACGAGCATGCATGTAGAAATCACGAGTGCATACCAGTACCTCCAATCCCAGTGTACCTCTGTGAATTCTTTTTCTAACTTCCTCCATTCTTTATATGTGTGTCCTTTCTTCAACAATGGAATCCTGACTTCTGACAAAATGAACACACTTAATCATTCCTATAATATACCTAAAATAGTTTATTTTTAAATAGGTTATACTTATCAAGGCTACTTAAATTAATTCAGGATCATCCCTCCCTGCCCACACTATTAACTTTGGATGAACATCCTTCTAGATCTCCCCGTATACACTTTTAGATAAAAAGACATAGTTTTATTAAATAGTAATCACACTCTACATACTCTTATGTAACCTGGCTTTTCCCCCACCAATGAAAATATCATTAACATCATTCCATATCATACATCTTTTTTTCCCACAAAATGAGATCCATAGAATATTTTTTAATGATTGCACAATAAGACTGTACCATAATTCCTATTATTGGACTTTGATTTAAAAGATGTCCAATTTTTCACATAATAGTATAAAACAATGAAAATCTATCTTTTATCCACTTGGCATCAACATATTTGTAACTAAATTTTAATTGTTTCAGTAGGATAGAAGTGGAATTACTGGTCAAATGATATATATTTTTTTATGCTTTTCTGGATGGCTGTTTGCTCCGTTCCACAGTTTGTGAGTGCTGGTATTTCTAGACACGTGTGGGCCTGGCTTTGAGATTCTAGTTTTGAGGATCTGGAGTGTGACCAGGATTTGTAGTTTTTAAAGGCTTCTTAAGAGATTTTGATGTGTATCCAATTTGATAGGTGAAAGTGGCATTTCATTAATTTAATAATAATTTTCTTCTGAAATTGTTTCAGATACTCAGATTTGGGAGAAGTAACTTCAGAAATAAAAGCTTCTGAGAGACGAACAGCTGTGGCCATTGCAGGTAAAATTGGGCTTGGGCCCACCCTGGAGCAAATCCATTTCTTCTGCCCCATTGGGGTTCTGGATTCCAGCACCATACTGGGTAGGATCATGGACCTCAGAAATAAATAAGCACAAGGTTTTTTATTTTTCCTTTTACAAGAAGATCCATTTAAGGGTCTTTTAAGCTTCCCTCATATTCAAAATAGGGTTCACTTTTAAAAAGGTATTGACCACAGTTTTACCAGGAACACATCACTCCAGTTTGAGCACATTGTTATTCCTGCATCCTGAGCTGTGTTGAGTGTGACTGTCTAGTTTCTAAACTGGGCACACATGAGGGTGAAAGGGACAAGAGGAATAGATTGGGACTGTCCTAGTAGACTGGGGCTTAAAATCTTTCTGAACATGGTCCATATTAGCTGGTTTTTATGTCTCTGGGAAGTTGGGGTATGGGGTGGGGCTGTAGCTGCCCCTCGTGATTTCAACCCAAGTCTAGACATCTTAACTTCTTTTAATAACTTCATTTTGGATCTGAAAGTAAAGTGAAAGTGTTAGTCGCTCAGTCATGTCCGATTTTTTTCGAGCCCATGGACTGTAGCCTGGCAGGCTCCTCTGTCCATGGAATTCTCCAGGCAAGAATACTGGAGTGGGTAGCCATTCCCTTCTCCAGGAGATTTTCCCAACCCAGGGAAGTCCCCATTTTGGATCTACCTTTCATTAGTTTGGTGCTCCTGAAAATGAATGTGTCCTATTGGATATTAATAGTGTTATGCAAAAATAACCCTACAAAAATATGCAAATAAGTTTGGGTTAATCAAATTTTATTTTATCCATTCAAACAAATATTTGTTGACTGTTTACCATGTGTTAGCTTTGTTGTAGGGATTGTTAATATAAGAAGCAATAGTGAATGCAATAACCAAAAATCCTAGTCTTTTTGGAACTTAAGTTCTGGAAGGTAGGCCCTGTGGGAGTTCATGCTCAGTTGGTCAAGGCTAAGCAAAGTTGAGATCAAGCAATAATTGCTCGAAGCCCTTCAGTTTCTTAAGACCTTGAATTGTACTATTCAATACATTAGCCACTAGGCACACATTTAAAATTAAATAAAATTAAAAATTCAGTTCCTCATTCACACTAGCCATATGTCAAGTGCTCAGTAGCCATACAGCTAGTGACTGCATCTTTAACAGTGTAGATATAGAACAAGGCAACCTATTGGTGGGCAGTGCTATAGAAAATCAGGAAAGAAAATTTCAGGGTGGGCTGGGGAAAAGCAGTGACCTTACTGGCTTATTGTGAGCTAGGTTGCCCTATTTAGGTTTTGACAACAGCCTCATAAGATAGTCATTATCAGTTCTTTGTTTCATTTGAGGAAACTGAGGCTCAGAGACGTTCTGGCCCTTCTCCAAAATTCTGTCTTTCCAGTGAATAAGGCTTTTGTAATTATTAAAAAAAATTTCTTCCTGAGGCATATGAATTCCTCTTAAGCATATTTTTAGGACCTAAAGCAAGCTTTTCAGCCTATAAAATTAAAAAAGAAGTTGTATTGAAGTATAATATACATATGGAAAAGTGCCCATATTGTAAGTGCATAGCTTGATAAAGTTTCACAAAGACTGACCTATGTTAGTCAGCATCCAGGAGAAGAAGCTAAACAAAAACATTACCTAAGAAGTCCACTTTCTAATCACTTCCTACCCTGCCTTTGCCAGACATAACCACTCTCCAGACTTCTAAAAGCATAGATTAGTTTTGCCTGGCTTGTACTTTATATAATTATCCTATAGAATATATTTGCTTTATCTCAAGTCTGAGGACTCTAGTTACTTAATAACTCTTTCTTTAAAAAAAATTATTTAAAATCATTGAAGAGAATTCTGGAAGATGGCACAGCAGGATGCTCCAGGAATACCTCTCCTCACCTGGATAGCAGTTGCGCTGGCAGAATCTGTCTGATGTAATTACTCTGGGACTCTGCAGTCTGATGGAGGCTTCCAACTTCCAGGGGAAGAATTATAGGGTAAACTTCAGTTAATTTTGGCCAGTTTCAACTCTTAATACAATAGCGGCTACCCATCTCCACCCACAGCCAAGTGGCAGGCAACTGTACACATGGTCTTGGGGTAACTTGACACAGCTTGTGGTATCCAGGGTGGGCAAAAAAACCCATCCTCTAAATATCCAGTACCTGTGCTCTAATTGCGGCAAAGAGGGGAACAGCAATTGTCAGAACTCCAAACATTGTTGCAAACCCCTCCCCCTCCAGCCTAAGGGCCTTACAGGGGGTAATCAAAAGATCAACACCTTCCCATCTATCATTATTTGCTTATTTCTATTTTGTAAGCCACACATTAAAGAGTAGAACATTCAAAAACAACTGCATATATGGGAAAAATTAGAAAATAACTGTGCATTCCCAGGAAAATGCTCAAAAAAGATCAGAGAAGACTTTAAGTTTACATCTTAAGCTGAATCTCAGCACAGCAACAGCCAACAGCAATCAAAAACAAACAATCAAAAAATAACAGTAGCAAACCCTGAGTAAGGGGAAATAATCTGATTTCCATTGTTAGCACATTATTAGATTCAAAGGTGTTCAACAAAAACATCACAAAGCATAGAAAGAAACAGGAATATGTGGTCCATTCACAGGGAAAAATATATCAACAAAATCTGTCCCTCAAAAGACTTTGTGGCAGACATATTAGACAGACTTTAAAACAACAATCCTAAAGATGCTAGAAGCACTAAAGGAGGATATGGAGAAAGTCAAGAGAATGGTGAGTGAACGAAAGGTGAATATCAATAAAGAAATAGAAAACCCAAAAATGAGCCAAAACAAATTCTAATTTTTTTAATTTGATACTTTCTTTATTTTTTCACTTATTTTTATTAGTCGGAGGCTAATTACTTTACAATATTGTAGTGGATTTTTGCCATACATTGACATGAATCAGCCATGGATTTACATGTGTTCCCCACCCTGATCCCCCCTCCCCCAAAACAAATTCTAGAGCTGAAGAGTACAACAACTGAAATGAAAAATTCACTAGCAGGATTCAAAGGCAGACTTGGCAGGCAGAAGAATAAATTAATGAACTTGAAGATAGTGGAGTGGACAGTGGAAATGATCAAAGCTGAGGAACAGCAAGAGAAAAGACTGAAGAAAATCAGACAGAGCCTGTTGGACACCATCAAAAGGACCAAGATACTCATTGTAGGAGACCCAGAAGAAGAAGAGAAAGAAGCAGAGAGAATATTTGAAGAAATAATGGCTGAAAACTTTCTGAATCTAAAGAAAGATGTGTATGTAATCATCCGAAAAGCTCAATGAACTCCAAGTAAACTGAAATCAGAGAGCCCTACACCAAGACACATAACACAAAGAAAAAGAAGAAATCTTGAAAGCAGCAAGTGATAAGCAAGTCACTACAAGTGATTTTCAAAGAGATAATCTGCAGATTTCTCATTAGAAACTTTGGAGGTCAGAAGATACAGTCAAAGTGCTTAAAAAAACTGTCAACCAGGATTCATATATCCAGTAAAACTATGCTTCAGAAATGAGGGAGAAATCAAGACATTCCCTGATGAACAAAAGCCAAGGGAGTTTGTGACCACTAGTTATCCCTGGAAGAAATACTTAAGGGAGTGCTGCAAAAAGAAAGGACATTAGACAGTAACTTTATGCTGTATGAGAAATAAAGATCTCAGTAAGGTAGAAACATGGGCAATTACATAGCTAGTATTATTGTAACAGTTGTTTGTAACTGCACTTTTTGTTTTCTATGTGATGTAAGAGACCAATATATTTAAATTAAAAAATAATGTAATAACTAGCATTACTGTAACATTGATTTGTAATTCCAAATCTTGTTCTGTATGTAATTTATGAGACTAATACATTTGAAGAGTTGTTAGTTTATGTTTAGGGGCACACATTATATAAAGATATAATTTTGTGATATCAAAAAGCAAAAGGGGTTTTTGGTTTTACAGCATGTAAACAATTAGAGTATATGTTGTTGACATTAAATTAGTATAAATTCAAATTAGAATATTATAACCTTCGGAGACTAAATGTAATCCCCATGGCAACCACAAAGGAAATTGTTATAGAATATACACAAAAGGGAATCAAGAAGGAATTTAAACATTTCACTACCAAAAAATAAATAGACACAAAAGAAAAAAGGAATGCAGGAAATGAGGGACTAAAAGATATAGCCCAGTGGCAAAAATAAGTGCCTCCTTATCAGTAATTTAAATGTAAGTAGATTAAACTCTCTCATCAAAAAACAGATATTGGCAGAATTGATAAAAACACATGACCCAATTATATGCTGTTTATAAGAGACTCACTTTTGAGATTCACAGACAACTTGTAAAAGTAAAAAGATGGAGAAAGATATTATGTGCAAATAATTATCAAAAGAGAACTGCAGTGGCTATGCTAATTTCAGATGAAATAGGCTTTAAGTAAAAAACAACTCCAAGAGACAGGAAGGACATTACATGTTAACAAACATTTCAATACAGCAAGAAGATATAACAATTATAAGCATTTATTTGTAATGTCAGGCCATCAAAATATAAAAAGCAAAAACTGAGAGAACTGAAGGAGAAAATAGACGGTTCTACAGTAATAGTTGTGGATTCCAATACCCCACTCAGAATAATGGATAGAACAACGAGACAGAAGATGAGTGAGGAAACAGAGGCCTTCAACAACACAGTAAACCTACTAGATCTAAGAGACATATGCAGAATACACCGCCCCGCCCCCGCCCCGGCCAGCAACAACAACAATATACACATTCTTCTCACTGGACATAGGATATCTTCCTGGGCAGACCATATATAGGGCCACAAAGTAAGTGTCAATGGTTTCTAAAAGATAGATATCATACAAAGTATCTTCTTTGACCATGATGAGATAAAGTTAGAAATCAAGAACATAACCTGGAGAATTCACAAAATTTTGGAGACCTAACAATGTCCTTTCAAACAACCAATGGATCA